ATTTTACTGGACAGAGACACAGCGAGAGAGGGAACGCAAGCAGAGGGAGTGGGAGAGGGAGAAGCGGGCTTCCCGCCGAGCAGGGAGCCCGATGCGGGGCTCGATTATCGGGACCCTGGCACCCTGGCACCCTGGCACCCTGGGATCATGACCTGAGCCGAAGGCAGACGCTTAATGACTGAGCCACCCAGTCGCCCCCCACTTTCCACCTTGACCGTGCCTAGTCGTCCACCCGTCTAGTCCTCTTGGCCGCGCCTGGTCTTGCCCTCGAATGTGTTCGTCTGGAGCACAGAGCTAGATCCAGAGAATGAGAGAATGAGATCGATGGACCCACGGACGGAAATCAAGTTTCTCTTTCCCTGAAATGACCTAGGACACTCCTCTTCTAGTCAGCTCCCATCCTGCTCCCCCACCCCCAACAACCTCTCATCGGACCTTCCCCTTTTGCCACCAGAAAGCTTTTCCACTCCTCCGCCTGGCCTGCGTTTGCTTGGCGTCTCTGCCAGACCCAGGCGGTGGTGGCCGACCGCAGACTCTCTTGCCCTCAAGAAATGATTCCCGCTCTCATGTGGGTGATCTTTTATCTCCACAGAGGTGATTAGTTTGGGGAACAAATAAAAGCACTCAGAATAAAAACCATGCCCAGTATCATGCACGCCCTCCTCCCCCTCCCCCCCTCCCCCTCCCCCTCCCCCCTCCCCCTTCCCCTTCCCCCCCTCCCCCCTTCCCCTCCCCCCTTGGCCCCCTTCCCCCTTCCCCCTTCCCCCTTCCCCTCCCCCCTTCCCCCTTCCCCTCCTCCCTTCCCCTCCTCCCTTCCCCTCCCCCCTTCCCCTCCTCCCTTCCCCTCCCCCCTTCCCCTCCTCCCTTCCCCTCCCCCCTTGGCCCCCTTCCCCTCCCCCTTCCCCCTTCTCCCTTCCCCTCCCCCCTTGGCCCCCTTCCCCTCCCCCTTCCCCCTTCCCCCTTCCCCCTTCCCCCTTCTCCCTTCCCCTCCCCCCTTGGCCCCCTTCCCCTCCTCCCTTCCCCTCCTCCCTTCCCCTCCCCTCGTGGCCCCCTTCCCCTCCCCCCCCTTTGATGTCTACATGAACCGACAGACTGCATGCATGGCATGTATAGATGGATGGATGGATCGATGGATCGATGGATCGATGGATCGATCGATCCATGGATCGAACGGTGAAGAGAGCCTGAGGGTGAGGGTGAGGGTGAGGGTGAGGGTGAGGGTGAGGGTGAGGGTGAGGGTGAGGGTGAGGGTGAGGGTGAGGGTGAGGGTCCCGTCCGTCCCTCCCTCCTTCCCTATGTCCATCACATTGTTTCGTCACAGATTTTCGAAGTGGAGATACAATTCGCATGCCATATTTCGCATACTCTTAAAAGTGGGCCATTGGGTGGCCTTTTTTTCTTTTTTTTTAAGGTGGCTCACAAAGCTGCACAACCTTCACTGCAATTTCCAGAACATTTCCATCACCGCCAAAAGAAATAAACACCTCTACTACCCCTCCCCCCTTCCTGTCCGCGCCTCGCCCCCACCCGCCGTCACCGTCGCCCTCGCCGTCACCGTCGCCCTCGCCCTCACCCGGGCTCTCTTCACTGTTCTCCCCCAACAGGGAGTAGAAAGGGAAGTTAGAGGGAACATTCTTCCTCCCCTACACCTGCTGAACGCACATGGACACACACCGCAACCCTCCCCGCCAGGCGCGCGCACCCACCCACCCCCGCCCCGCCAAGCCCCGCCCCGCCACGCCACGCCACGCCACGCCCCCCATCCCGGCCTTACGTGTACCTTACGTACCTCTGCACGGACTCGAGATTTGGCAATAGCCTTGATTGCCCTGCAATGTTTCCAAACCTCGGCGCTCCCCAACCTTCCCCACCCCGACCCCCGCCCCTTCGAAGAAGAACTAACCTAATTCGGGGAGCTTCCAGGTTGCTTGAACGCCTGAAATGGTGGGGACAGAGGCGTTCCTGGAGAGGGGTCACGGAACACGGAAGCTCTGCCCCCCTTCCCTTTGCCTCTGTTCCATCTGGAGTTTCCTCAGTTGTATCCTTTTAGGACACAGCGGTCATGTAAGAAATGAGAAAAAAAAGGACTGAAGGACTGAACCGGGCTAGACTGGTTTAAAATTCTTCACTAGCGTCCATGCCGAATACATTTCGACGACAGGGGCCTTCGCACGGCTTTTGGTGCACAGAAGACCGATGCACCGAAGCCTGCCGATCTCGGGACGTGTCCACGAGGGGAAAGAGTGTCAGCCTATCGGAAAAGAGAGTCGGTTAACGTAGATTGCAAAGGCATTCGTTCATCCCGAGAGACTTCCTCTCCATGATGGCGGGTGGCGCGAGATGGAAGAGTTGGCTTCCATGAAAAAGGGGCCCTTTCTTGAAGACCCTGCCCAGCTATCGGGGTTTTGTTGGTTTGTGTTTTGTCATCTGTGATAGGAAGGCATCTTCTTAGCCATCGGGAGGGAAACCTCAACAAATTCAGCCATTCAGATCACAAGGGATTTCTTGGGTTTGGTGGATCTGAGATCTGGTCTGCCTCCGACTGCTCCCCGAGATTGCCTTTATGCCGAGAATGGGATTCCTCATCAGACACACAGAAGTCCGGCTCCTTGCCACGGAGCTGGCTGCTCTATGGATGCCTTTAAAAAGGAAGCCTGCCTTTAATTCGGACGTCGGAACGTGATCGGTCGCTTTTTCATGGGGGGTTGGCCAATTAAATTTCCCCCGCCTTGGGCGCCTGGGTGGCTCAGTTGGTTAAGCGGCTGCCTTCGGCTCCGGTCATGATCCTGGAGTCCCTGGATCGAGTCCCGCATCGGGCTCCCTGCTCAGCAGGGAGTCTGCTTCTCCCTCTGACCCTCCCCCCTCTCATGTGCTCTCTCTCATTCATTCTCTCTCTCTCTCTCTCTCTCTCTCTCTCTCTGTCTCAAATAAATAAACAAACAAACAAACAAACAAATAAATAAATAAATAAAATCTTAAAAAAAAAAAATTCCCCCCGCCTTACAAAGCAGAGACTGGTGAAGGGTCCTCCAAGTGCCCTCTGGAAATCAAGAGCTTCTGTATCAAGAGGCTGGAAAACGCATCTTCCCCTTCTTCCTGGTGAATCCAATTCTAGGGGTTGATTCAAAGGAAATCATGTTTTAGATGCTAAAACGTAAAGCTTACTTTTGCAAAAATGTGCATCGCGGCATAGGGTTTAGGAATCCCTTGTGGCAGACCGACAACCGTGTGTCCCTCACGTCCCGGCACGTGTGCACCCTCACGTCCTATGACTTCGATGCTCCTGCTATCCAGAGGTAGGCTTGATTGCTCTGTCCCTTGATTTTGGACCGGGTCTTGGGACTTGTCTTGACCCAAAGAATAGAGCAGAAGTGACACTTGGCTGGTTTCACAGCCTACACCTGAAGAGGTGGTCTGCCGGCGTTCTCGACCTTCTTGGCATGCCGTCCTGAGACCTCCACGTAAGAAAGCCAGTCTAGCTGACTGGAGCATGAGAGGCATTGACAACAGAGGCAGCCCGGTGCTCGGCGGCACCGACTGCCAGACGTGTGAAAGTTGACCCTCTGGCCGAAAGCCACTGCTTGAGTGAGCCCGGCGTAAACCCGCAGAACCCAAGGGGCCACCCAGGGCAAGCACCAGGAAGTTATCGATAAAGAAATGCTGTTTCGAGCCATTGCGGTGTTAGGATGATGCACCCTGAGGATCAGCTAGCTGCGCAGCAGCGATAGATACCGTGCACACAGATACACACCACACAACACACCACACCACACCCCCCCCCCACACACACGTGTGCAGAAAACCAAACCAACGAAACAAACCAAAACTCTGTAGAACCCTGCACCAAATGTTGAGGAAACAACGGCCCACCCTCACAAGAAACACCTGCACGCTACATGTACAATGCATAGGGAGCCTATACTTGCAAGTGCTTACTTGCATGGGAAACATTTCACGATAACATGAGTCTCAGATGGCCCAAGCGGGGTTCTTTTGACATGTCTGAATTGTGTACACAATTAGAGAAAGCCTGCTAGGAGACTGGGTGATCAGAAACTAGGAAGCTCTTTGGTTCCCTCAGTGAAGCCCCGACTTTTGGGGAGGAACCAACACTCAGGGAGATGCTCTGGTCTTCATTTGGTTGGTTGGTTGGTTGGTTGGTTGGTTGGTTGGTTGCTGCAGCTTTTGCTATCTTTGCATAAAACCGACCCTGTTTCCATTGGGAATGGAAAACAACTGACGGGTGGGATCTGTACACGGTAATGCTGCTTCGCAGTTGCATTTGTTTTACTAAAAGAGGGAGATTTGAACATTGGGTCTTTCGTGTCCTCTCCATTCATGTCCTCTCCACAAATAAGACTGAAACAAAGGCTAAAATTTGTTTGCATCTTGTTTGTGTCTATGTGTCCGTATGTGTTATACATGTGAGGTATTTCCTCCACCTCCGGGTGCTATTGCTAACATCCATTTGTAAAGGAGCTCTATTTAATGAGTTCTATTTTTATTTTATTTTATTTTATTTTATTTATTTTATTCTTTAAAGATTTTATTTATTTATTTGACAGAGAGAGACACAGCGAGAGAGGGAACACAAGCAGGCGGAGTGGGAGAGGGAGAAGCAGGCTTCCCGCCGAGCAGGGAGCCCGATGCAGGGGCTTGATCCCAGGACCCTCGGATCATGACCTGAGCTAAAGGCAGACGCTTAACCACTGAGCCATCCAGGTGCCCCGAGTTTTATTTTTATTAAAGATTCTATTTATGTCTTTGAAAGAAAGCGAGTGAGAGAGCACACGAGCTGGGGGTGGGGGGGCATTGGGAGAGGGAGAAGCAGACTCCCCGCGGAGCAGGGAGCCGGATGTGGGGCTCCATCCCAGGACCCCAGGATCATGATGTGAACGCAAGGCAGACACTTAACTGCCTGAGCCACACAGGTGCCCCTACTTAAAGAGTTTAGAGGCAGGTGCTCGTAAAAATCGGGCATGGTAAAACTCAGATAAGAATAAACCCAGTTTTTCAAGCTCACATGATCTGGGATGAAATTCCCTACATTCAGACTCTTATGTCACTCCACAATAAAGATGCCTCAAGGTAAGGGACCCAAGGGACGGCCCAGAGATAGACAAAAATTTAACACACCTGACCTTACCCCCACTTCCCAACAGTCAAAATAATGAAGAAGAGGAGGAAGACAGGCCGATGCTAGAAATCTGAAATCCACTCCTCCTCCTCCCCAAGTACAGGCACCAGAACCGATGCCCAACCCACTGGCTTCCGGAGGGCTGAAAAGCCACCACAGACAAAGCCTATTAAGCAGAAGGAGATGAAGAAAGGGCGGAGGCGGAGGCGGAGGCGGAGGCGGAGGCGGAGGCGGAGGCGGAGGCGGAGGCGGAGGCGGAGGCGGAGGCGGAGGCGGAGGCGGAGGCGGAGGCGGAGGCGGAGGCGGAGAAGAAAAAAAAGAAAAGGTTCGTCCAAAACTGTAAATGTATATGTGCCCTGGGCCTTACCAATGGCTCCCTTGCCGCCTCCCCTGCCCCGTTTCTGCACCACTGGTGTGTGTGCCTGGAGTGCTCTACTCCCCTGCCGCCGTCTCAGCCGCCCTTCCCTACCCCCGCCCCCCCGCCCCCCCCCCCCCGGGTGCCATGGGCTCCCCTTTCTCCTCCTCCTCCTCCTCCTCCTCCCCACCCCCTTATCAAGGAGCAAAAGCCCTTGCCCTTGGGCCCAAGCCCTTGGGCCACCTCCTTATGAGGTTTAAATTGGAGCACCTCCCAAACTAGCAGGAAGGGGCCCGAGGGCTCCGCTGATCTTAGACCGCCCGCTTCAGACTTTCCCCAAGGAGTCTGATGGGGGAAAACAATCGATTGACTTTTTAGTGGACGCAGGTGCAACTTCTTTGGCGTTAAAGCCAATTCAAGGTTGTTGGTTTATTTTAAAAAGACGTGGTTTTGGAGCTATCAATGTCACACATAATACAAATAATCAACTTTGCGTTCTTTCTTTCTTTCTTTCTTTCTTTCTTTCTTTCTTTCTTTCTTTCTTTCTTTCTTTCCCTTTCTTTCTTTCTTTCTTTCTTTCTTTCTTTCTTTCTTTCTTTCTTTCTTTCTTTCTTTCCTTTTCTTTCTTTTCTTTGTCATAAAAGCACTTGGATTCGGTTCTCCCTGCGTTACAAGCCGTTGGGTGGGCAGTGGAATGTGCCACGCTCCCGTCACAACAGTGAGCCTGTATTTGTGGTTATCAAAATATACCTCTCCATCACCTTTATAAAAACCAACCAACCAACCAACCACGTTTGGGTGCCTGGGTGGCTCAGTCGTTCAGCGTCTGCCTTCGGCTCAGGTCATGATCCCAGGGTCCTGGGATCGAGCCCCGCATTGGGCTCCCTGTTCATTGGGGAACCTTCTTTTCCCTCTGTCCCTTCCCCTGCTTGTGTTCCCTCTCTCGCTGTGTCTCTCTCTGTCAAATAAATAAAATTTATGAAATATATTCATACATTTGCCAATCTAAAGAATTCTGGTGTAATAGAGAGTGCGCCATTGGTTACTACTAACGTTTCACCAGAGACTGAGATTTCTAAGAATTAAAATTCTGCCACATGGAATTGGGACTGCTACAAAATGATAACAAAAACAACTCCGTGTGTGGGAAGGTAGGAGACGTGTAAAAGAGGTACAAGAAATGAGAAAACATTTTTTTTGTTGAGGGAAAAGGAAGTAATGGTGTACTGAAACGGGACTGGGTACTTAAAGAAAGAAAACTTTAAGACCGAGTCTGAATGAAAAAGGAAATTGTGGAAGGGGTTTGTGAAGGAGAATTTTTGAAAAGGAATTTTATGCATGGTCAGGACTGACTGAGCTTGGGAGAAGGCAGTTTGAAAAGCACACTGGTGGAA